AGAGGAGAGGAGAGGAGAGGAGAGGAGAGGAGAGGAGAGGAGAGGAGAGGAGAGGAGAGGAGAGGAGAGGATCTGGGCAGTCTGCAGAGCCAGGACAAGGATGATGGCATGTACCTTGCCTGTAGCTGGGTCTGTTTCATGGGTTGGGGCAACAGCATGTGCAGCCCCCAGGGCTTTCAGCGCTTTGCTCCTTCTCCTCACGGCAATTGAATACAGAAATATTTCTAATGGTGCAGRCATTCCCCCAGGCAGTTCCCTGCAGAGCAAAGCGGTTATCACAGCTTGGCCCGYGTTGCAGACAGGCAGGGCTCTCCCCGCAGATCTGCCTCCCTCAGGCATTGCTGGACCAGGGCTTTTTGCCTACCTCTGTCTTACACTGCTTGATGTTTTCCTGCTGATCCTTTGGTTTCCCCGTTTGCCTGGGGCAATCCCCTCTGCAGTGGCTGCTGTGCTGTCAGCCTGCCCTGCAGAGAGGAACTGGCCAAGGCTTTCACGCTATGGGAAATTCAGCTGCAGCTGCCTCAAGAGGCTCTGGTGCTCCTGGAAGCACATCCGTGCATGGGCAAGCTCAGCCCCGCATTGCCCYGTTGCTATCAGGGCAAAGCCTGGTGCTCTGTGCAGGTTTGCACAAGGTCCAGTCCTTGGAAATGTCAATCTCTGCTTTAGATGCTGAAAATCATCATGGGTCACCGTGGTCTCTTCCCTGCAGCTATTCCCTCTCATGAGTGGAGCCTCCTGCAGTTGGTCCTTGGACCCTCTGAGTCACTTCACACAATTTCATCTCTTCTGAGCCAGGTCAAACCAGCCCAGGCAGATGAAGGGTGTACACTCCTTGCTCTATTAGCCCAGAGGTGCTGACTGTGAGCCCTGCTCCTTGTGAGCACAGCACAGTCTTTCAAATGCTCATAAGCATAAGCAGCAAAATTCTACGAATCATATTGAAACAAAAGCTGATTTTCCTTCCAGGTCACATACCACACTGTGCAATGTGAGAGCCTTGTTTTCATCCTGCTGGTGCTACTTCTTAAATCCCCTGGGAATAGCTGTCATTGAAGTAGTGCAGCCAGGGAGGAAAGTCCATTCCTACCTACAGGCACAGATAGGCAGAGAATTGGTACGGGGAGAGATCTGGTCTTACTCTGCTTATTTAGGACCAACTCTTTTGTGGATAGGAAATGCCTTAACGTTACTAACTTCCAGTTTATGCCAATGAGCCCATCGATGCGTTGTACCTCCCCTGCATCACCAACCAAGGGCTGATCCTGGCTGTTTCATTGCCTTCACCTCAGATACTGGTGAAGCATGCAAGCTTGAAAACCAACCACAGCTTGAAGCAGCCGATCCCAAGCATTTATTAGCACAACAGAGATGCAGATGGGCTGTCTCTTGCCGTGTGCAGCCAGTGACCATGGTTGGTTTTGTGTCTCTCCCAGAGATGTCTCCAAGTCGCATCTGAGCTCTGAGAACCTCTCTCAAGCTCTCGCTCGTTCACACTCTCTCTGCAGTGCTGCGTTGAAGTGGAGACCTAATGCATTGTAACAGGGAGCTTGTCACAACATATTAGCAGGGTATCTCTGGGTAATTCCCTTCCTACAGCTAAAGTGTGTCTCATTTTCCCGGAAGATTTTAGGAAAGTTTTATAGATGTTATACAGGCTCAGTAAATAGCTCTGCCTTGCTTTAATACAGCATGTCTGATCCTTCACCAGATGCTTTTCCTGCTTTGCTTGGTTTCCTTTTTTTCCACCCTATCATGCAGCTTTTCTCCCTCTCCAGTTCCGACTCAGCTCTGCAGAGCCACAGGCAGCAGTCTTGCCAGCTGTGGGAAATTCTGACCTTTCCCATTTCTGTGCCTCTTGGGATCAGAACAAAAAACCTGTGAACTGAAATTGTGCCCAGTGTGCAACTGCTCATGTATTTCAATCCAGGAGCTCTCAAAGGCTTCCCCTGGAAGTTTGCAAGATCCATATCGCAGTTTGGCTATATGCCACATGGTGCAGCAAGAAGGATGAGATTGATCTCCCCTGTATTGGTGTCTCCAGGGTGGCCAAGTCCTCACCATGGTCCCTCAGAGGCTGAAGGAGGTGCACGCAAGATATACAGCAGAGCAGAAGTTGTATCTGACCTAGGGCAGGTGGCTCTTTTAGWTTGGGAAGAAAGAAGCTTAAAGTGAACAGCTGTGGTGTGAAGACCTCCAGCGTGACTTGACCACCTTCTGCCTCCAAGTAATAAAAAAGTTAGAACAAAATGAACCAAAAAAAAAAAAAAGGATGAAATGCACAGTCCATCCTTACATAAATAGTTCTATTCTTTAAAATCTCCTGAACTCAACAGTTCAGGATGTGAACAGGGATGAGCTTAGGCCATTGCTTTAGGAAAGACAATGGGAACGGTGTTTCCCAGCAGCCAACTGATCCAGAGCTAAACAACCCCTACTGCTGTTAGTGGGGCTGGTTAAATGGCAGGCAAATGCCCATAGATCAGACAACCGCACCCATACAGGGTGCGATTAAAGGGAAGATCTATGGACTGGGTAATATCCACAGAACAGTCATTAAACTGACTGGGAGCATATCCTGCTCTGCCTGGAGGAACGAGGTTAATCACRCAGATTCATTTCATAGCTATTTGTCTGCCCAGGCTCCACACGCGCCTTCATCACAGTGGCACAAACACAGCGGGAACCACCAGGGACAGCTCTGCGGAGCAGGAATAGCTGGAGCTTCTTTGACATCTGCACGAGCAGAGTTTCTCTTCCCATCCCCATGTGAGAACTGCGGCCCCAAAAAGCTGATGTTAGAGGACAAGTTAAGGCACAGCCCAGTGTCTGTATAAATTAACACAAGTTCTGGCTTGCTTCAGGTGAGATGGGATTATACCAATGGTGTTACATCTGTGTGGCACATCATGGCTGCATGCATTAGTTATATTATTATAATTTTTTTCTTCCTTTGCTAAAAACAACAAAAAGAAGGATGTGATGCACAGAGCCATTCTCAGCACCAGCCACAAGACTATTTACTTGTCTGTCCCCCTTCACTTCATCACCCCTCAGAGGCAGTAGACTGTCCCTGTCACAGCAGCCAGAGCCGTTGCTGATAGCCCAAAAAAATCTCTCTGGGTGAAAGCCAAGCCCAGCTGATGCTTGTGCAGTGGCAGGTTAAAATACGGATGATCCATCAAAACTTTGCAGGCCGGCAGTGAGCTTTACCTGCTAGCCAAGAACATGCTGGTGGCCGCAGGAGAACAGAAGGTTATTTCTGGGCCTCCTATTTGGGGCCATCTGTGACTTTCGTTGTTGGTTCTTGTGCGAGAAACGAGGTCTTGTGTGTCTATATCCCCTAGGTGGCATCTCCRCACTGTGTGGTGGCAGTCCCTGCTCACCGCTGGACTCTGGGCAACACGGGAACCTGGAGGACACAGCCCCATATCCGGGGCAGGAAGGTGCTTCCATGGAGAGTCGCCCAGTATTCCCTATAAGACCCTGTAAGATTCTARGATTCTCATCTGGCTGCAATGAGAATCCAGCCTCGTCACTTCGTTGTTGTCATGGCTTCCCTCTTTCCCAGCTCTCTCTGCTGCTCCTTCAGCCCTGCCTCCTCCTCCTCCTCGTCCCTTCCCAGGCTCCTGTTGGGACTCCTTTTCTATCCAGCTAGTCTTCATTGGCCGGTGCCCCCCTCCCAGCCTTCACTAGCTGTTTGGGCAAGAAAGAGCTGCAAGAGCAGAGCGTTTTTGGGTTGCAGCCCAGGGTAACTGCAGCTGCCGTGTTCATGTGCACAAGCAATAGTGTCTAGGAGCAAAGAGCAGCTGCCAGGCACAGCTCCAACCCTTGCTATGACACATTGGCCATTTTGATTTCTGCTCCGCTTCCAGACCCTCCTCCCTCCCTGCTCCTGTCGCTCTCCTGCAGGTCTCCATCCACTCTGAGGTCTGTGGATTAACAATGTGACTGTGTAAACCTTGCATGCCCAGATATGATTCCTCTTCCATCCATAGATCAACAGGGTGGAAGTGCCTCCAAAAAGCAGTGCTTTGACTTACGCTGCTCCGCTGCAGAGCAGGATGCCACCTCTAACAAAGCACTTTTATTGTGCACGTGTGAAATCGCTGGAAGGCAGGCCAGTGTGTACAGGCACCTGGGGAGGGACAGGATGCAGGCGCTCCAGCCTTGGGTCAGCAGATGAGCAGCATGACATAAATCACTACGGCTCTCCTCGTCCCTGCTCTGCTTGGGCTGCTGAGAGTGCAGGAAGTGCGTTCCCTATGGAACCTCAACATGGTGTGATAAATGTGCAAGCTCTGTCTGGTGGCAGTGACAGATCATCTACATGCTTAGCTCTGGCCTCCTTGCATGCGGCACTCCTCAAGATCATCTACAGAGGAAGCCTTTTGGACATATATCGGCCAAAGAGAAGGACGTGTCTCCTGATCTTTCATAAATTTTACCTTGCTAAGGCAGTTCTCTGATCCTCATTATTGCATGTCTAAGGACACCAAGACCTTACTGCATCTTGCTGAGGCTGAACCAAGCTCTCATCTGCTCACAGAGTCTCAGTCTTTGTGGGTAAAATAGATTGTAAATACCCATCTGCTCCATACGACACTACATTGCAGCCATCCAAGCCTCATCTTTCCCCTTCCACCATCAAGCTGTCCAAGTCCAAAGCAGAACACATACCAGGGCATGAACACTGGAGGTGKTCAGGTCACTTGGTAGGGCTTACTGCACAGACTAAGCATGGTAGACAGGAGAAGGCAGGCTTTGCAAAGGGGTTTTATGCCTGAGCTCTCACCAATTTGAAGGACAGTCCAGTCACTGAGGTTGTTGTATGCTATGGTCCCAGATATCTCCTTCCCATAGCTGCTGGGAGAGCCAGGGAAATTCACAAAATTACATTTCTCTCCTTCTTAGCCTATTGCCTTCACCGCCTTTGCATCCAATATGATCTCTTTTTTTTTTTTTTTTCCATTTATCATTTTGGTCCCAAGAGTAGTCCCCCATGCTTCTGGTGGGCCAAAAGGTGTAGTGAATGGTCCTTTGGCAGAACACACACAGATTTGAATTTGCATCAAGAACTAGAAGCTGAACTGCCCCAAAAGGGGCTAACCCTACCCGAGGTGAGGAAAAACAAGTGCTCTTCCTGCAACTCCCTGCTACACTCAGGATTCCCCCCTGCTTCTTCCCTCTCCATGTGCCACAGCTATTTGGATTCCTCCCTAAATGACAGCCCTCAGCAGCCTCTCCAACACACGAGGCCCTTATTCTGGAGGGAATGCAGCCAGCATGGATTTCTGCACAAGCAACAAACATCATGTACAAATGTTCCCTGTTCCAAGGCACTGCTCCGTTTGGATTTGTAGCAGGCTTTGCAAAATGCCTGGGAGGCTGGGACAGCTTTTAGTATGCTGGCTGTGACTTCATGTGTCCTGAGGGGGTTTATAGCTACAAATCCTTCATCGTCTTTAGTAAATTGTGGCCTCTCTGCACCACGCACATTTGCTGCTGTTTAGAACGTTCAAATCCTTGGGCCTGACCCTGAAGTCCTCTGACTCCTCTTCCAAAACACCGGCAGCCCAAGAGAACTCGACTCAGCCCTGCTGCACATCCCTCTGAGACACTTTTACATGGGGAGGAAAGGAGACTGCTTGGCAAGAACCCATTTACTGAATTGCTGAACGTCCAACCAAGCTGAACCTCAGGAGACAAGGCAGGTGATGCTAAAAGATGTGGTGCATTTCTAAATTGGGATTAGCTGTCAGAACAATTAACCATCGGAAGAAATCTGGAGAATAGAGGAGACCCACAAATGATGTTACTGGAGACCGGGGCCAGCAGCCTGGGCAGTCTGGCCTGCTTTTCCCCCACCCCACTCCCTTGACTCCTGTTCTATGTCTAATTTTAGGTTAAAGGCCTTTTATCTGATATCAACCCTCCAGCATGCCCTAGGCACTCTAATAAGAAGCGTTTCTCCTCCCCRTGACTTTCCAAAGGGAAATAGTCACAATATTTTCACAGAGGCAGGAGTGACAGCTTCCTGTGAAGTATCCATAGCTCCTGAGGTCTGCTGTTATAAGTGTCTCGGAAGGATATCTCCTGGATTAGACCTTCCTGAAGTGCATTTCTGTGCCATGCGGTACCCTGTCCTGGCATCCTCTTTCCCTTTGTCTTGCCTCTGGTGAGGGAGCCCCTCACTAGATGCTAAATGAGTCACCTCCAGTGAATGAAAGGCCCCAGCTTCCAAAATAGCCTAGATTTCAAGGTGATTTATATATATTAAAAAAAATCCTCCCATTCAGTTTATTCTCCTTCTGTACTTTGAGGTCACATTTGCTACCCTTCGGTTCTGAACATGCTACTGATTTATCCATTTAAATGGAGGCTGACTGTTCCTGCATATTCACATGACTCCAGGAGCTGGAGCTTGGATGCAGATCCATATTGTGAGACTCCAGGTAAACCTGAGCAGCAGGAGAGTCCTCTGCCTAGAAAGCAAACAGGAGCAATTCTTTTCTGTGGCAGGGAGTCTTTGCAGTGACATTCTCTGCAGTGGCAAAGCTTTGAAAGCACGGAGTGCTTTCAAAGGCACGAACTCACTCAGCCTTAAATGTGGCAAATTTCTTACTKGCATCATCTTGAAACAAGGACCGAGCATTTGTCCCTGTGTGACTGTCCCAGTAGAAATCAAGAAGTTCCTGCTAAATGCAAGAGATACTCAAATTACTCAAGTTAGCGGGACTTTCGGGACTTTAGAGATTTGTCTTTTTTGAGTTATCTTGCATAGCAATAAAACTCCAAGTAGAAAAAGGCCCATGAGACCCTTGGCTGTGCCCTGGTCTTGTTGACTTGCTGTAATGCAGACCAAGCTCTCAGGCCGTGGCTGCAGATTGCCTCCACTTGGCAGAGCTGACTGCAGTGTTCATCTGCTTACAGGTAAGAGTCCTGCCAGGACACCTTATGCTGGTGCATGAACAAAAAGTCATCTCCAGCTGCTGCCCATTTTCTTTCTTTGCTTAAAATCTAAACYTCACTTATCCATACTGCTATCGCAGCTGGTTTCTGAGCCGCTTCTCTGGATAACTGGCAAACTACAAGCAAGGGAATTGATTGTGGAATCAAATTATATGTTGAAACTGCTGGCTGCACTTCTTGTAGCCTTGCTTTAGGTACTGACACCACAGTGGCTGTTATCCCAGCAGCAGGCAGGAAAGAGCAGCAAAAGGGCTTAGAGAGGAATGATCTGTAGGGGACACCTGCCAGTGCATCAATGAATGTCTGGGTATGGACTGGGCTGGGACTGGCCATAAAGAGTTAGGAGAGATTGGAGGTTTCTGAAGACCATTATTGGAGTAGATGGAGCCTGACCCAGACTGGATTTTTCCCTAGTGAACAGCATTGCAGCCCTCTCCTTTTTCCCTTTCCCCTCCTTTTTTCCCTTTTCCTTTTTCTCCCCTTCTCTTCTTTTTTACTTTTTTTCTTCATCCAGAAAATGGCAATGTGCTGCTCCAAAGGCAGCTTTGCCCTTTTATTAAGTGCTCTGCAGAAGCAATTACAGCAGTTGCCACAGCAATGCTCTGTGTGCATGAAGGGAGGAGCAGGCTGCCACACATGTTTCCCATTCAAAGGTAATGCCCACTGCAAAGCATTCAAGAGCATCTGACAAAGAGGGAACTGCATCCCCCTTCCAAACTGGTTTTCTTCTGCTGACTAGTTCATGACTGCCTGCCTCCGTGATAAACCCTAGTCCATTGGTTAAGTCTCACTCAGCAGTTAATTAGTCTTAATGAAAGCAAACTCCTGGTTGAGCAATGGTGCCGTAAAACTTGTATGAGAAACACAGTAGAGTCTGCCAAATGCTTAACCTCTAAGGAGTGAAGCAGAAGACAGGCTTTTATTATAGGCTTTTCAGCCACCTCTTCTGATGGACCAAGGAACTTCAATCTGTAAAACAAGAGAGCAGACTAAAAAAGTCCCCAATGAATGACTAGTCTTCCCCATAGTTCCCCAACTGAAACAGGGAGAAGTCCAAAAAAAAAAAAAACAGAGAAAAGTCTAAAGTAACAGCCTATTTACTCTCCAGTCCTGGAAACGACTCTGTGCAGCTGCGGAGGGGACTGTCACTTAATAACCATGACAGCAACACCTTGATATGAGGTACTAGTGTCAGTAGAGCAGCTACACAATCACAGTTAACACATTATTGGAGAAAAAAATAGGTAGAAAGAGGATGTTCCCTGTGTGTCTACTTTCTTTTGTCACTGCTGATACCTGTCACTGCAAGCTATCTTTCCCATCACTTTCCCCAGTAGCCATCTCATCTGTACACAGGCCAGGGCTGAAAAATGAGAGAAGGTGGAAAGTTTTTGGACTCATCAAGTATCAGAGGACTGCCAGTGCAGTTATTGTGAGGAAAAGCTACACCAACACACCCAATTACACAAGCAAACTAGAACTAGAGAAAGCATTTTACCAGACCTTAACCTGACTGCCCATGCAAGCCATTTTGTAGCAACTTCATCCAA